GAAGATGTCAGATTGGATCTAATTTTTGAATAAACGTATAATTTCTGTTTCAACTTAGTGGTTAAGACTTGTACATGATCACGATAAGTCAAATGAGAATCSARAGTAATTCCAAGATATTTGTAGGTAGTGACAATATCAGTGCATTTCTGCACGTATCCTGCTGAGTCTGTGGCCTCCTATTTAAACCTATGATGCTTCACGTTCATAGAGCAGAATGTCTGTTTGTTCGCTGAAAGACAGATTTGAGAGAGTGTTTCCACATCTCTAGAGTATTGGAAAATCATTGCATTCACTGGTATCATAAAAGCATCAAACACACATACAAACACACTGAAGTTTGTACCTTGACAGCCACCAGCATCTTGTCCTTGGTGGGGCTGAGGTTGTAACATTCTGCCAGGAAGACTTTACCAAATGCTCCCTCCCCCAGCTCCCGTTTCAGGATGATGTCTCTCCGCTTTATATGCTGGACAACTAGAACAGAAGTGGGACAAAGAGAAAACAGAATTTAATTCCGTGCCATATGTGACATTTTACAGAAAGCACGTCTAGCTAAAAAAAACATGTTTAGACAAAGTATTTTACTGTGAAGTCTCCAGAAGAGGACATGAGGACTGACAGGTTGAAGGAAAAATACAAACAGAACAAAAAAATAAATAAACATAAAGGAATATCAGGACATGAAAATACTTTGTGACTTTTAAAGTCTTGTCAAAATTGTTAACTTTCTACAGACAATGTGGAGAAATGTCACAATAATTTACAGGCTAAAGTGAGAATGCACAGGACTGCTCTTTCCTTCCTCTTGTGAGGCATTTATATACAGTATATTTATGTGTAATCCTGTTCCTGGAAAATAAAAAAAAACAGAAAAAAAAAGAAAAAAAAAGGTCAAACTCTGCATGGAGTTGTCAAAGCATGAGAATACTATTTTATCCTACTTTGAAGCTACTTTAGACAGAATACTGGGAGTGTGAAGGTTCAAGTGTTTTTAAATCTTTGAAGTGCAGGTAAACAAGAAAATGACACCAGACCTGCCAAAATCTCATCTGGATTTTTTTTTTTAGCTTTGCTGTCAGAACCTGACATTTCACTGTTTGAATTTCTTACATAAGGAATTAACTATAAAATACCAAACACTTATTACACTTTGCTACCTAGTTGTTTTCTTGTTTTATTAATAATTGTTAAGTACGGAGCCCGCCGGGGGTCAGTGGGAGAAAAAAAAAACAGCCGCTGGAAATCCGTGCGCACGGATT